GRWYCYTCCATTCCAATGCAACTACCAGAGTTATGGTGAATGGTAACCTGACCCCTCCCATTAATCTGCAAAGATCAGTTAGACAAGGGGACCCCATAGCCCCATATCTGTTTGTAATCATTATGGAAGTGCTAGCCACCAACCTTAGAACTCATAAGGACATCAAGAAAATTCAAGTGTCAGTCATACCCAAGGAAGCAATCCCAGTCTGTTCGTTGTTTGCGGATGGCCTGACCCTGATGGTGGATGCCTCCTGGGAATCAATGGAAGAAATCCAACGTATGATGGACCGTTTTTGTCAACTCTCAGACATGTGCGTAAACTGGGGAAATAAAACCCAAGGATGGTGGATCCACCACCAGGGAGTGAGGCTGCCAGAGCAACCGAGGATTAAATAGCTTCCAGACGAAGCGCCCATCAGAGTGTTGGGTGTATCGATGACGGCGAAAGGAAGACCATCTAGCAATAACGAATGACTCACCGGGCTGCCGCTGGCAAAAATGACGCTCTGGAAGAACAAACACACTTCGTTGTTTGGACGTTCCCTGATTATCAACAACGTGGTGCTGGCCTCGCTATRRTACAAGWCTGCAATCTGGGCCCTGGACAAGAACGCCTTGCGCCCACTAAAGCGGCAGATAACAGCCTTCCTATGGAGGAGTGACCACGAGAAAGTAAACGTGATCAACCGTGTGGCATGGCACTCTATAATCCAGCCTAAAACAAAAGGGGGGCTAGGTCTTCTTGGCCCGCAGGCGCAGAATTAAGCCCTAGCGGTGCAATGGCTTAAACGTCTGATTTTTTATCCAGACGTCCCCTGGAAAGGGTTGGCTCTAGAACAGATCTCCAGAGTGGCACCCCAGATTTCAGCAGGAAGCGACCCGCGGATGTGGCTCGAAAATAGGGATTGGTCCATCCCGAGGCCGAGGCGGGTGCAGCATGACTGCGATCCTCCCTCCCCCAGACGAGCCGCTAGGGATGACCTGCGAAATGACCCATTCTGACCCACTCTTCTCAAAACATGGAGGAGCCTCCCTCTACCAGATAAAACCTCACCGGACAGATGGGAGGAAGTGGCGAGGCAACCCCTTTTTGGCAACAGGTGGATATTGGACTCAAGAGGACAAACTCCCCACTGCATGGACTCCCCTTGGCAAGGATGGATTAGGTGAGGGGTAATGAGAGTAAAGGACATCTGGGACATGGAGAAGAAGGATTGGATAAGCCCCGACCAACTAAGACAAAGATTGAGGTATTGTCACCGGCCACAAGAAACCCTGAAGGCGATAGTGGAAAAGATCCCCCTGGCCTGGTGGAGGATCCTCCACAAAGGCCCTGCCTTACAAAAACAGGACTGGGTGGCAGTGACAGGGCGACAAGGAGAAGTGGGCAGGGTGGTCGGCTGTCTCCTGGGAGGAAGCATGGAAGTAAAACTCTTCCAAGTGGGACGGGACAGCATAATTTCAACAAGCGATCCGATAGAAACCATTGAGTGTCTAAAAGAAGATCTTTTCAGAGTTAGAGTCTTCGAGGAGAACGAACAAAGCATAGCTTTCCAGCCCGCCTCCCCGATCCAACATGTGGCCTTGGACCCGCTAGAGTGGACATGGACAACCCGCTGGGGGAAGGGAAGGGGCATCACCAGGACATTATATGGTCTAACGGTCAAATCCACCTATAGCCTGCTCAGACCAACGATAAACCTTAGACATCAGGTAGCGGAACGCTGGAGGAACCACTTGAATGTCAGTGAACATGATCTAAGACCAATCAAGTGGTTCAAGATGGCCAAAGTTAAACCGACTAAAATTGCTTCCCTTCAATGGCAGCTGGAACACCGCTGTCTGCCCACCAACAACTGGCTAATAGACAGAACCTCCCTGGAACAGAGAGGCCGCGCCCTCCTATGGTGCAAGCTATGCATCAACTCGTTCCCATCTAGAAAGCGCCCGGAGACAATCGAACACATCTTCTTGCAATGCCTGGGGGCGCTCTGGCTGTGAAGGTGGTGAGACAGAATCTGGGGGCAGCTGGAAACATTAGCCCCGTGGCCTGGGCCTGGCAGGCGATCCTGTTTGAAAGTTGGCCCAATGGCCACACGGACCACCTAGACGACTTCACCGTCAACATGTTCAAATTGGGGCGGAGGGCGGTGCTCTGGGCGCTTTGGGGACGGCGCTGCACATTCGAGATGGAAGGTGCCTGATTGGAAGGTCCTGAGTTCACGGAAAGCATACAGCACCAGGTTCAAACCGAAATAACCACGGTGTGGGAGAAGGTAAAAACTCGTATCAGACGCCTTGACAGAACAAAAGACATTCTACTAAAAATTGAGGAATTCAGCACAAGCTGGCTCGGGGGACCTGATGGGGGGAGGATAGGGAAGGTTGAATGGAAAGGGGAACCCCCTGCACCAGGGTCAGACCAAGGGAGAAGAGAGATAGTAAGAGATTACTGTCTTATATTTAAAGACTGGACTATGGTGGATGCAGCCATCCCCCTGAAGCCTTCTAAGGACTTCCCCGAACTTCCCCCCCCCCTCTCTAGCTGCCTGGTAGAAACGCAGTGGTATGGATGCTAGACAGATAAGGAGGGGTCAGAGGAGCCAGGTAATAGTAGCAGCACAGGTAAGTATTGACAGACGGAGGGGCAGTGGAGCTTGTAAATAATAGCAGTGATTTGGCGCGGGATGCAAGGTGAAGAGGCTCCTGCCCTGAGGCTTTGGATTATCAAGCACCAGGGACGCTGGTCCCGCTTTCCAGCAGTCAGCAGGCGGGAGGGGGAGCAAGCAGCTGCTGACAGTATCAGCCGGGAACAGCCGGCATTGGCGGTAAGCAGGCGGGTGTTGGAACAGGCAGCTGGTGACAGTATCAGTCCTTCAATTTCCAATCTGGCGCCCTCCCCTCTGAGGGTGAAGAGATACAAAGGCAGCATCAGTTTTCCAAGCACACACGGGTCTGCTCAGCAATCAATGCTTGCACATAAGCCTGCTGAGTCAATTCCCTGATTTGGCAGGGCAATCAATGCTGGCAGGTATCACGGTCACTCGCATACAGCCAGAATATTCCAAATCCTTTTTCATGTGTAATGGGACGCTGGACCCGATTTCCAGCAGGTGATGCTCCCCACCAATAGATGGAGCCTCTCCTCCGGTGGTAGTGCTGACTCTTATCAGCAGCACTAACACTGAAAGGGGTGTTCTTTAAAAAAAAAAAAAAAAAAAAAAAAAAAAAAAAAAAGAGGAATAGGGAAAGAGGAGTGACTTTGGAATATGCAACCAGGTTGTTTTCACAACCGGCTGTACGCGCGAGAGACCKGGCGAAGCTAGCCGCTTCGTCCTTCAGGGCCTGGAAGGCCACGAGGACTTGCTCCTCTATCAGGATATGCTGTAAGTAAATGTAACTATTGACACTGGCCTCCCGGTTGTCAAAGTTCTCATCCTTCTTTCCCCCGTACGCGTCTGGGAACTTAAGTTTCACTGGGTTCTTATGGGGTCTGCCCTCTCCTTCTACAGCGGTTGCAGCTTTGGCACCCTGAATGACGCCCTCACAAAACTTCCCTACGTTGTCTCTCAATTGCTTGACTTCGCCCCCAATATGGGTGACGATTTCCGGGCAAAATCCCTGAACCCGGACCGCATGACACTCAACGCTACATCCTGGCTCCAGCTTGTCGGGTGCTCCTCCATCAAGGCCTTGCTCTACACCTCTAGATAGCCCACTACTTTGTCCCACTTGGCCTTATCATTTGGCTGGGCCAGCACCTCCGCTCTACACTCCTGCACCTTTGCCACTGCGGCGGTCATGTTATTCACTTCCTCTCTCCTCCTCTTCTTCTCCCTCTTCATTCTCAACTTCCATGCTAACTTTTGCTCGTCTTCCCTCTCTCTTCGTTCCATTGGGTCTGTCATGGCTGCTAGCTCATCGGCCAGCGCAACCTTCTCATCCTTAGTCACATAGGACTCCGCCTCCTCGTCTTCCCCCAACGATAAATTAGCGACCCACTCGCTGATCTTCTTCTCCAACTCAGTATTTGTCTCCCACTTCATCGTGCCACCACTACTTCCTTCCCCACTCTCAATTCTCATCCTCTCTTTCTCTTCTTCTGCTGCCGCTTCTGCTTCAGCAACCTTCCTTCTTTCTTCCTCCTCCTGTTGTACCCTCTTCATCTCCTTCTCCAATCTCTTCATCTTCGCCGCCTGCTCGTCTGCGATAGCCTTTAGCTTGGCTTGCTTTTCACACTCTTTCCTCTCCTTATTCTCTCTGACTAAGGCGGCCATATTTTCTTGCTGCTCAGTGGTGTAGGGGCTAGTCTCCTTCCCACTACGGGTCTCAACCATGGTGATAAGTGTACAACCGGGTTAGTGGTTCCAAACCTCACCACGTAGACGTCAACCCCTGACTGACAGACCTACTGACTSAATCTAAGACTCACAGAATCCTGACAGGGATCCTGTCAACCATGGTCTCTAGCCTAGACCTACACTATGACTGTCACTACTGAACCAGTGGCTGATCAGGAGGCATTTAAGGAGATCTCCCGTAACTCCTCAAGAATTCTTTAACGTCGCAGACAGGACGACGTGATCAGCTTGGCTCTGCATGTGCTTTCAGCCCACAACTCAGCCTTGCCGGCCTACTGTGTCACACTGAGCAGCCTGCAGGTCTGTACCGGTCCTTGGGAGGGTTCGTATCCCCCGGGACAGTCGAGTCGTCARACACAGATCATCAGCCTTACTTGGTCTGGTAGGGGAGTGGTTCCAAAAGGCCCTCAACACTTAAAGATGGCCTCCGTTTCAGCCTGCAGCTCAGAGTTCGGACCCTCTTCACTGAAACTGAGCAGACCTGCCGGACAGTACCGRTCATTGGGCTAGACGAGTTGTTTAACGAGCGCTCGCCGCTCATGCCCAGGTCTCCAGATACAAGAGTAGAGATTAGTCCTAATAAGTCTCGTGCAGGTTTGGCAGCAAGGCCCTATCCTTCATCCACAGAGTTCWATGACCTAGGACAGAAGAGACTCAATGCAAAAAGAATAGACAGATAGGACTGTACTCAGCAAGTACCAAGGGGTATGTGCACATCCAAAGGGCACGGGGCAGGCGAAGGGCTTGGCGACATGTTACCAACTTCAGCTTGGTCAAAGTCTTGGTCAACGCCTTGGTCAACGCCTTGGTCAACGGCCTTGGTCAACGCCAGTCAACTCCGGTCAACGCCTCCGGTCAACCCTCTCGGTCAACTCCCCGGTCAGC